GTGGGGGAGGGGCGTGGGGAGGGTGTGGGGGAGGGGTGGGGAGGGAGAGGAGGTTAGTATTCGTGGGGACAGAGTTTCAGTCTGGGACGAGGACAGAGGTCCCGAGGGGGCCTGCAGGGCCGGCTGCCCCCTAACGTGAAGGCGCTCAGTGCCGCTGAGCTGTGCGCCTGAAAACGAGCGAGGTGGTAGGTTTTACGCTGTGTGCATTTCACAACAAGAGGCTGCCGGAAACGGGCAGAGTCTCCCCGTCCCTATGGATGTCCTGAAGAAATGGCGTCACCCGTTTCCTGGAGTGCTTTGGCTCAGTGTAGACACGTCAACACCACCGGCCTCACCCTTCTGCTGGACGTTCCCAGGAAGGCCCTACTGTGAGGGCCAAGTGGAGAGCAGGAAGCTGGCAGAGAAAACGCTGGAAGTATTTGCAAAGTCCTGCAGCCGGGGAGCCCCGCCTGCCTGAGCTGCCCTCCCGCCGCCCTGAGGACCCGGACTGGATTTACAGTTGTTCCGTTATGGGTAGTAACTCCCGGGAGAAGGATCCGTGTGAGGACATGACACTGTGGGGTTAGAATAGGTCACAGTGAGGACGGCGCGGCTCGGAGCCTTCGGCGGGTCCCTCGAGTCACCGGCAATGAAGCCACGTGCAGCGCCCTGGAGGAGACTGGGCTTTCTTGTCGCGCAAATCCCCGCCAGTGACTGTGAATCAGGCCCCTGGTAGGACTGACTGTCTTGTTAAGGTTGACACCAGCCCCTCCATGTAGCTGCCGATGAGCCCATTTTACAGATGGAGACACTGAGCACGATCAGAAGTGAAACGGCCGATGATCCGCGGCTAACAGGGATGCAGTGGGAGGCTGAGGGCCCGGAGCCTCCCAGGACCCCTCACGCTTCCTCGTGAACCCCAGGTTCACGGTAAACAGGGGTCCTCGAGGTGTAAGCAGGGCATGTTTCAAGTCCTCAAGGCGGCTGGACCTGGAAAACATTCGTCACCTTGGTACACCTATTCCTTCAACCAAAAGGGGGAAAACGCGAGGTGGAGCTCCCCGTGGGGGGCCCGGCAGCCCCATCCTGCCGCCCCCACTGCCCACATACCCCCACGCTGGGCGCAGCGAGGGGCTGGGTGCCTGCAGGCAGAGGGGCTCCAAGCTGCACTGAGCCAGGCAGCCATTCACACAGATACGTACTGAGCACCTACTGTGTGCTCGGGGGTGCAGCTGGGAATACGACACCCCCGCACCTGCTCCATGGATGTGACTGACTCATGGAGGGTCAGCAAGCAAAGGAAGGAAACTCCCGAGGGCTGGGAAGGGGCTTGACGGCGCAGCCCTGGCAGGGGAGGGCCGCCCCGCAGGTCTTCCTGTGACGGAAAAATCCGAGGGACAGTCCTCAAGCGGGGAGGCTGCCGAGAAGCCCAGGGGGGCCGAGGGGGAGACTGCAGGAGATGGGGGGCGACGAGGGGCCGTCGGGAGGGGCCCGGAAACACTAAGAGCTTCGCCTGCCGCAGGTTCACGGTCACGGTCACGGCGCTTCTGAGGACGCCGGCACAGGTAAAGAGGGCGAGTTCCCAGCTCCTGCCGCCCCTGCCTGCTGCCACACCTTCCAAGGACCGTCACCAGGAGCACGTGCTGCGCGCGCGGGCCAGGACCTCTGGGAGACCCACCAGATGAACCGGCCGCTAAGTTCCTTCGCCGAGCACTCCAGGACGTAGGGGACTCGGGCCGGGAGCCCCCGCGGGGGTCCTGGGAAAACAGGGCCACCGCCTGCCAAGGCATCGGGGGGCCACCCACCCCCAGAGGAATGCCCACAGGTCCTGCGTGAGGGAGGGGACTCCACCTGTGCTATTTTGCAAATGGGGAGTCAGGGGCGGAGTCAGGGGGAGTCAGTCCCGGAGACTGAGGCCACCCCTCGATCCCTCGGACTCCTGCATTTGCGCCCTGGCCAGACCGATCTTCGTGGCCCAGATCCGAAGTCTCACGGGGGGTGGGGGTGGGGGTCCAGGGTCCCCGCAGCAGCTCTGGAGCCCAGGAGGGCCCCGGCCTGGGTGGGCGCTGCCCCGACAGGCTGCAGGTCCGGAGGGGACCCAGGAGCCTCACGGAAGAGGCTGGAGACGGGCAGTGGCCCCCTTTTCTGGGCTTCTGGACGGAGACCTCAAATCTCCCAGGTCCCAACCCAGGGTGAAGTGAAGCCTGGGGGGCCCAGCGGTGGGGTCTGAGGGCCCCCGGGGCTGGGGTGGGGTAGGAGGCGCAGGAGGCTGAGGTGGCTTGAGGACATCTCTGGTCACAGGAGAGGTGGCGCAGGGGCGGCGGGGGCTGGGCCGAGTGCCTCAGGTGCCACAGAAAACAGGGATTTTCACACGGAGGTGAGCCAGCGCCCAGAGTCTACACAACCTCTGGTGAGCCCCGCCCCATCAGGGGGCGCCGCAGAGTAGTTACAGCAGATGCTGGGGGGGGGGGGTGGCGCTCAGAGGCTTGGTGCCCCCGGGTATGCCACTCGGTTCTTTTTGTTGCAAATCAAAGGGGAGAGTCCAGTTTGTCCCCGAGTCCTATCACCCGTCCTTACGTGGGGGGCGATGTGTGCAGAGGGCGCAGGGCTGTGGCCTCTCCCGGCGGCACCCTCGCTGCCTCCTCCCCTGCAGGCCTTCAGCAGTGCCCGCCAGCCGGGCGCACCGCGCTCCCGCCGCCTCCACCTGGTCACCCAGCGCGCACGCCGCCTCCCCGGTGCGCAGGGGGCCGACCCCGAGCCTGCCACCTTCCGGCGCTGCTTCTTCCTTACCTGGCCAGGCTCCCCTGCCCCCAGACCCAGGAGGGTTTGCAAGGTCCCAGCAAAGCGACGGGTTTCCTGGGGGTCCCTGAGACGCCAGGCGCTCAGAGTGCTGCGGATGCCGGGTTCGGAAGGGCCTCCAAGAAAGCTGCTCACGCGGAGGCGAGAAGCGGGCAGGCGGGACGACGTGCGGGGGGCGCAACTTGGGCTGGAAAGCTGGAGCGCAGGAGACGCGAGGGGGCGGGCCGAACGGGTCGGTGAGTCCGGGAGGCCAGGGGAGGGGGCCGGGGACCCTCCAGGTGGCACTAGCGGCGCTCGTCCCGGCCGCCTCCCCTCCCCCAGCCCTGATTGGCAGGCGGCCTGCGGCCGGCCGCGAGCGCCACCGCGCCCCGGGCGCCCAGGCGAACGCGATCGGCCCCCCGCGGGAGTAGGAGGGGGCGCCCGGCTATATATAGCGGCTCCGCGGCGGCCGGCGCAGCGCGCAGGGAGGCGCGCACCGCTCCGCAGGGTCCCAGCCCGGGCCGCGCGTCCCGCCCCGCCGCCCGCCGCTCCATGCAGCCCGGGTAGCTGCCGGCGCCTGGGGGCCCCGTCGCTCGCCTTCCGCTCCTCCGTCGGCCGCACCCTCCCCGCCCGAGTCCGGGCCGTGCGCTCCCGCGGGCCGCCACCGGCGCGCCTCGGCCCCGCGGCTTCCAGGGCGCACGGCCCGAGGGCCGGGATGGCGGGGCCCCGGGCGGCCGCGGCGGCGCTGCTCCCGGCGGTCCTGTGGGCCGTGCTGGCGTCCTGGGCCGCCGCCGCCCCCGCCGCCCCCAACGGCACGCTGGGGGCCGAGCTGGAGCGCCGCTGGGAGAGCCTGGTGGCGCGCTCGCTGGCGCGCCTGCCGGTGGCCTCGCAGCCCAAGGAGGCGGCCGTCCAGAGCGGCGCCGGCGACTACCTGCTGGGCATCAAGCGGCTGCGGCGGCTCTACTGCAACGTGGGCATCGGCTTCCACCTCCAGGTGCTCCCCGACGGCCGCATCGGCGGCGTGCACGCGGACACGAGCGACAGTGAGTGGGGCGGGCGGGCGGGCGCGAGGGGCCGGGGGCCGCGGGCAGCAGCCGCCCCTTCCGAGGTCCGGGCCAGCACCTGCTGGCGGCGGTGGGAACCGGGGCGGACGCGGGTTCCGGTCCCTCCGGCGCAGGGACGCACGCACGCTCGGGCCCGGGAGGAGTCGGCGCTGGCACGGCCTTGGCGCACCCGGGCGGCCGAGCCCCGCCTCCCCGCCTTCGGAGGCCCGGGCTCCGGGTGCCGAATTCCAGCGCCTGCGTCCGTGGGCTCCGGGGCCCCTTTACATCCATCCGCACCCCAGAAACGGGGGTCCCGGAGGCTCGCAGGCGGAGGGGGGGTGGCGCGGGCCAGGGGCCCCTGCCCAGGAGTGACCGGCGCCCCGCCCCCAGGCCTTCTGGAGCTCTCGCCGGTGGAGCGGGGCGTGGTGAGCATCTTCGGAGTGGCCAGCCGGTTCTTCGTGGCCATGAGCGGCAAGGGCAAACTGTACGGCTCGGTGAGTACCGCAGGGGCGGCGCTGCACCAGCCCGGGGCCGGCCGGCTGCGCTGCGACCCCTCCAGGCCGGCCTAAGCCTGGATGAAGCGGCTGTGGTGGGTCCCAGGATTGCCACCGCCCCCCCCCCACCCCCCGTGTCCACAAGCGCCCTGAGCCAGTGCGGGTGAACTTGGCGAGTGCAGACTAGGGGCAGAACTCCACAGACAGGAGCCACGAGGTTTCTGCCCCCCGAGCCGGCTCCTCCGCAGCCCTTCTCTGTGGCCTCTTTCTGGTGGGTTCCAGCCGGCAGGACAGAAGCCTTAAGGGCGGTGCCGTGTCTGCCAGGTGCTGCCGCTGTGGGCTGGCCAGGTCTGTCCCCAGCTTCCCGGGAGAAACCTCGCACCCAGAGCAGGGCCGGGCCAGAAAGGAGCCCCTGACGCGAGGCCCTTGGCCGGGAGGTGGCCCCTCCTGACGCTGTCCCTTCTCCGTCCCAGCCCTTCTTCACCGAAGAGTGCAAGTTCAAAGAGATCCTCCTCCCTAACAACTACAACGCCTATGAGAGCTACCGCTACGCGGGCACGTTCATCGCCCTGAGCAAGAACGGCAAGACCAAGAAGGGGGGCCGGGTGTCGCCCGCCATGAAGGTCACCCACTTCCTGCCCCGGCTGTGACTCCCGCCTCCTGCCCCGTGTCCCCGTGCTCAGGGGCCTTTCTTCAGATGGACAGCGTGACGCAAGAGTAGGTGTAAGATATTTAAATTAATTATTTAAATGTGTATATATTGCCACCAAATTATTTATGGTTCTGTGGGCGTGTTTCGTATTTTTTTTTTTTTGATAAAAAGACAAACAGAACGAAACAAAACCAAATAAAACACCCCAGGTTCCCTGGTGAGACAGTGAAGACCCTTCCACTTGTCACAAGAGGCTACTCAGACCCCAATCCCAGGAGTTTTGCACGGTGCCCTCAACCGTGGTGGTGCGCACCCCCAGGTCTGGAGAGGCCTTCCTGGGGCCCGGGAGCCTGCTACGGACCCTCCCAGCCCCGGCCCTGCTCCGGACACCCTCCAGCGCCCCGCGCCCTGGGGCCCTGTCGCTATTCATCGGGGCCGTGTCGCCTTACTTGGGGTACAGAAGGCGCGCTGTGGGAGTGCACCCTGCCGCTCTGTTTTTAGATCTGCCGAGCCTGACCTCTGAACTTGCCCGCAGTCAATCTTCCTCGATGTCCCCGATGGGGGAGACTCTTAGACAACTCTCTAAACTCCTGCGTTCATTTTTTTGGATCAGCCACAGCCCGCGTTTCTCTGTGGCCACTGCGGAAGAGGCAAACAGAAAGCGATCTTGTAAATCCGACGGAAAGGAGCCGATATCCGACGGAAAACGAGATGTGGATAGGTGTGTTGGCCACCAAAACCCTATGATAAAAACACAGCCTGTGAGTCATAGAATATAGAATCTTTTTTCAAATTGCATTTCCCTGTGCTTGTGCAGCTCTGGGCTAAGAACTAGCTGTTGATTTTACGTAAAATCAACGTGAAATGGCCTCACAACTGTACAAAAACACATGACTCCCCGTTTGCATGGAGGAAGACGTCGTTTCTCTCCATCGCATTCCCTGATTAAGTGGATTATTTAACATCTACCTCGAAAGCCTTTAAACCAGTCGTCTGGCGAAATCTGCAGAAAGCTCAGCCCGGGTCCAGGCGCACGTCGTGCTCAGCGTCTGTCTTTCCATATGTAGCCAAAAGGCACTGCAGATAGTGTCGGTGCGTCCAATTCAAACCTTGTCACGTTTGAGCTATCTTTACCCCGTGATTTACTTTTAGTAAGGATAATCATGGTGAAAATATTTGCAGACAGCTGTTAGAGTGCACTATATGGTCACCAAGTAACCTTATATTTTTCTTTATATATTTTACAAATGTAACCCCTGCCGTGGCAGCCAAGATGGAAGGGCAGGGTCGGTGCCGTTTAAAAAAAGTCCCGAGGTGATGGCAAACGTTTAATTTTAATGAATGACTTTTTCGAGTTTATACAAAATGACCTTAGCTCGCTACCAGAAATGCTCCGAATGTTTCGTCAAGACTTTAATGCTCTTGCAAGATGTTTCTGGACTGCGTCCCGAATTAACTTTATGGGAGTCTCAGACGGCAGGACTGGACGATCTGATTTTTTGTCTTTCACATTCCTTCTTAAGACTTTGGTTCGAATGCAAATCATCTGCTTAAAACACCGGCCTTACACCCAGGCGGCTCCACCGGACCGGATGTCTTCACCTGCCGTCCGTGCGGTCAAGTCCAAGTGTTTCCAGCTTTAATCTGTGTCCTGGACGCCGGGATTATTGAGAGAGAGGGTGCTCAGAGATCTCCGTGCCGATGGGGCGGGGGGGGGGGGGTGGGGGGGCTGGGTGGACGTTCTGGACTTAAAGGTCTCACATCTAAGTCTTATGTGCCTTGAATTATGGCACGGAGTCTCGTCTCCGAGCTCAGTCAGATCGTCAGGAATTGAGATGTCTCAGGAATTGAGAGCGTGGCCGTCCCTGAGCACTTGCGTGTCTTCAGCAAGGACCCACGTGTGACACGGAGAGCGACTTAACTGGACCTTTGAAATATTACAAGGTGTTTCTATTGCTGTGATAGGGTTTAAGGTTTCTGTATTTACCGGTGTTTTCCAGAATCTGTCTGTAGTTTTATACAGGTGCCGACCCACGTTCTGATGTATGTGCTGTGCACACTGAGATGCGAATAAATGGAAACATTTACCATGTATAAAAAGAGCCACTGGACTTGATGGAGAGGATTGGGGAAGGTATTGCAAACGATTAAAACCTGCCCTGAAAGGCCAAGTGTATGGCTCCCTCCCTGTCTCCCAGTGTCTATTTGAGGCCTGGAGCCTTGCATGGCTGGGGGTGGGGGTGGGGGAGACGAATTTTTGCCAGCTGCGTCCACACAAATGCGGCCTTGAAGACGGGAGCCTAGTGGGGTGTGAGTGTCACAGAGTTTTGCAAGGACTCTGAATCTTGCAGCTTATTCTCGTGATGGGGCCAGTTCACACCGTCCCCACAGCAGGATTGGCCAGAGCTCTGTGCCCCCGGCCCTGGCCTGGCAGGGTCCACAGCACTTGCCTGCAGGTGGGGAGTGAGCCCCCAGAGCTGGTCATCAGAAGATTGACTCAAGGGGCACCTGGGTGACTCAGTCGGTTGAGCGTCCGACTTCGGCTCAGGTCACGATCTCACGGTTCATGAGTTCAAGCCCCATGTCGGGCTCTGTGCTGACAGCCCAGAGCCTGGAGCCTGCTTCGGATTCTGTGTCTGCCTCTCTCTCTGTGTCCCGCCCCTCTCACTCTCTGTCTCTCTCTCAAACATAAAAACACTAAAAAATAAAAATAAGAAAAGATGGACTCAAGGGGAGTTTTCAAACTCTTAAACAGATGCCACTGAGGAGTCTTGAAATCAATATAATGACTACGACTAGCCTTTTGTAAAGAGGAAGTGGGATACAGTCATGGTGAGCAGAAACTTCCAGAACATGTCCATCACAGGAAGCGGATAGATGAGTTTGTGGACACTATGTATATAACAAGTCTCTACTGGGATGTGATACAATGTGTTTTTTAGTGTGGATTGCAATAAAAAAATGGTGACTTAAGGTGCCTAGAATCTGGGTTCCCCTCCCCCCCACCCCAAATAGATCCAATCACTTGGCAGAAAGACCCAAAGAAGGCCTTCAGGGCTGTGGGGTCCTTAATCGTACCCACTGTGCTCTCCAATCGTCACTTTCTCCTTCCCTTTTCGACGCCAGAGACCTAGCTGTGCCCAAGATGTGCACGAGCAGAGCTAGGGGTAAAATTGGGGGCCCCTAAAAAAGAAATGTTGGAACCCTGGCCCCAAGGACCTAGAATATGACCTTGGCTGCAAATAGGGTCCTTAAAGAGATAATTGTGTTAAAATGAGGTCATTAGGGTGGGCTTTAATCCCACGTGGCTGGTGCGCCTCTAAAAAGTTCACGGAAAGAAATAGAGGGAGAGAAGGTCGGGGTGTCGTGTACACCCGCGGAGGGATTCCGTTGAACACCAGCTTGGGCAGGGGGACCCCGAGCAGATTCGTCCTCAGCCTCGGAAGGAGCCACGCTGCATGCACCTTGATTTCAGACTTCCACCCAGTGTGGTGGCCCGAGAGAAACGAATACATGTAGTCATTCACATCTCGTCCAAGGCGGAGGCTGGGGGCAGTGATGGGGCCCAGAGTCCTGAGTGGCCAAGTCCAGGCTTGGCTTCTCTTCTGCCGCCCCCCCACCCTGGGGCCCCCAGAAGGTCTCTGGCCAAACACCCGAGGCCTCATCCAGCTGCTGGGGTGAAAGCCTCCCCTTCGGTGGCAAAACCCAACAGCTAGACTGTTTCCACCGAGCCTTCCCGCCTCCGGCCGGGTCTGCGGAGAGGCCCAGAGCGGGACGGAGGGGCCGCTCGCTCACCTGCGTGCCTACTATGTGCCAGGCACCGCGCTACGAGCTCGGGTAGCTAAGTGAGAAGGAAGGGCCGGGGTCACGTGGGGCCCTCGGTACAATGAGGGAGACCCCTGCACAGCACACGGGGCCGCCCCCGAGGGAAAGGGAGAGCGAGGTGGGGAGGCAGGGGCCCCCCACCTTGGCCTCGCTGGGAAGCAAAGACCGGAAGGCGCTGAGAGAGGAAGCCGTTCCGGGAAAAGCATTCCGGCTGCCGAGGGAACAGCCAGGGCCGAGATGCTGAGCTGGGGGCAGCCCCGGTGCGCGGGGGCCCCTCCGAGGGGCTGGGAGCCTGGAGTGCTGGGCGGGGCGGGGCGGGCAGAGGGGCCGGTCGTGGGGACCGAGCAGAGAAGGGACACTCCCCATGGGCAAGAGTGGACGGTGGCAGGAAGGGGACCAGGCTCGTGTAGAGTGGGGTCATCCTGACCGCAGGGGGGTAGCCTGCTGCCCAGGGCCCCTTCCCGGCCTGTGCGCCTCACCCCTGCCTTCCCCGGGGAGCCTGCCTCAGGCCCACGGCCTCGGACTCCAGGCTGTGTGACCTTGGACAAGCCCGTGGCTGCTGTGTGTGTGAGGACAGGGAGTGATGCGCAGCCCACAGTAACTGCTGCCTTTTGTTATTGTTATTCTCCCAACTTCCCAACCCTTTTTACCTCGTGCCTGGTGCCTGGGGTGCTGTCCTGTGAGCAGAGGCCCTCCCGTGCCGGTGACTCCTGGCTTCTCCGAGGGCCTGGGCCACACCCCAGATTCCTCCTCCTCCAGGCAGCCTCCCTGGTTCACTCCTGCCTGCCTAAAGTAGGAGGGGCCACGTCCCTCACCCCCCCACTTCGCCCCTTCCAGAGTCTCTTCCATGCTCATACTTTGTATTGTTCTTGGCTCATAGTTTGAATCCTACACGCTTCCTGAAGAACGGGGAGGGGAGGTCAGGGCCCCCAGGGGGGGCAGCCCAGCGCTGAGGCCCCGGGAGGAGCCGAACGGCAGGGCCTCGGATGCCCTAGCTGGACACTGATCCCCCCTCCCCACCTGGGGCCTCGGACGCTTTCCACTTGGGGCTGCGAAGCCACCTCCGCCTCCGTATGTCCACACCCTAGAATATCCACATCTACCCACCTGCCCAGCTCCCGCCCAGAGACACGGCCGGACCCTGGGGCCGCCCTCCCCGCCCTCCCCGGCCCC